TTGAGCCACTTGAATCACTGCACAAGCCGGAACACTGAAAACTCAAATGAACTGTGTATCTGCGTATTTTCTTACCATTCCCACATGCAAATGATAGATCAATCTCTATCTGCGAGGACTTTGCCCTTTGTTGGTTTGGCCTGATTGACCCGTTCTCATCCATGTTCAACAACTCCCAAGCCACGCCCGCAGTGGCCTTCGTCCTTCATTTCCCGGGCGTCCCTCTCACCCCTGGAATGCCATCAGCACACTGCCCTCGCAGCGACCATTTCTCCTTGGGGCTAAAGACCAGGATGTCGTGCTGACCTGGGATTTTCGGCCAGGGTAAACTGGGCAAACACGTCTCCAGAAAGGGACGGATGGATATACTTCTGCCCAGAAAAGTCCTTTCGAAAGGGATTGGCCTCTATTTCGGGAAAAATAACCAAACATCATTCATAGAAAGTCATAATAAGAAAACCCTCTGCGCAACACCAGGTGGCCCACGAGCAGCTTCCGACACCACTCCAGGCTGCTCGCACTCGGTGGACGTACCATGTCGATCAGGAAGACCTGGAACGATCGTCGACAGTCGACTCGGTACTCCTGGACGAGCTGTTGATCCAGTCAGAGGGGTTTAAGTACTACATAATTATGTGTATATCAGTAGATGCGAAAAAAATAGTATATGACTCATGACTAACTTATTATTCTGTTTTAATATAAGGTGTGCATGCAAATTGCAGGGCACACAGAGACAGCATGTTGCAGCGAAGGGTTTCGCATGGTTTCTCCAAAAAAGACCTTTTGGTCTTGCTACCTCCCCAAACCGTCCACAAACGATGGAGGCCCCCCTCACGGAGTCCCGGAGGAAGGAGTGCACTTCCACCACCTCTGCGGGACCAAAATGGACCAAACACCAGTGCTGGAGCTTTCGAAATGAGAACCATGGGTCCCTTTGGTATGGTCACTTGTAAGGCTTAAAAAAAAGGTCACCACTCCGGTCCGATGGTATGGTCACCACTGTCCTTTTTGGGGTCACTTCACCTCTGTTGTTCTTGGAGTCTTCAACCTGCGAGATCGGTCGAGTGTTCAGTTGTCATTCTTCAAGGTGCCCATCACGTCACACCCAAGCTAGGTCCTAGGTAGTGACAAGCTGTATAACAAGCGTCCACGGCGTATCAAAGAGATCCGCCCAGGCAGGAATACATTGTTTTTTTACAGTGGTTTCAGAGATGGCACAAACCCCAAGATGTCTTTCAAATGGGGATCCATATAAACCACCTTTTAGGTGATTGAGCCATCTACTCTCAATCCAGTGTAACATCAATATTCTTGATGTTGGTCTTCATTGAGCTGTCAGGATCTTCCTCAGATCTTCCTGAATCCTCCAAGCAAACCGAATGACCTTTACACTCGATGAGGAAACTCCGAAGCACGAACTTCCCAAAGCACCATGAACCCTCGACCCTCCACCCTCCTTCCGCTTGAAATGGAAGCGCTTCCCCTTCCAACCGCTCCAACCACCGGAACAGCGAATGAACAGCGAACGAACGAACAGTCAAGTCGCGGTGGGAGGTCCGTCGTCGATGGAAACGGCCAGTTGTAGCAGGGAGATGGGATGTGGGTCCGACCACTCCTGTGGCGTCTTTTGGGGAACGTGAACACGAAGTCGACTTCGTCGAAGAGACGTCGATGGGTCGAAGAGACGTCATGGTGTCCAAATGGGGTCGACATGTCCAAGCGAACATGAACTTGATGTTGTGATAGGTCTTATCATTTATGATCTCTTCAAGTCTCGAAGAGATGAGTCTTCAGCTCCCCGTACACCAAGCATTTGTTTCAATCGACTGAGTACTGCATCATACTCGAAACTAAACTAATCATCTCGGCGCTGTAAGGCAGCTAGCAGCTAGGGGCTCGGCTACTAAACTATATAAAATAGATTAACTAATTGCAGTATGTCTGTTAAGTTATGTAATAACATGGCATATATATAACTTATAACCGTGTATAACTGTATACCGCAATATACGGTGCTTCTAGCTCAGAACCTTCCAGAACCTTCCAGGGCCTCCCTCCTCACCCCCCACCACCGAGGTCTCCGCATCTACTGCCACCCGCAGCGACGCAGGGCTCGCAGCGACCGCGGCGCGCGCCAGCTGGACGAGCTCCTCAGCACCTGATCCGCGATGAATGCAGTAAGTAGACATGACCCGACGGGACTGGCTGACTGAGGTCTTTTGCTGTCTTTCTACCTAGTAGCTTCTTGTTACTAGTAGCGATGGCCTCCACCTAGTAGCTTCTAGCTACTACAGTAGTAGCTTGGCACATATACCGATCAGTTGGGATGCTTGAGGTCAGGGGTCAATGTTTGTAGTGTCTGGTGAATGAATACGTTAACAGTGTAGTGGTTTCAGAATCCAGCAACATGACCTTTAGATGCGGGTCCATATGTTCACCACCGAACTTGGGGATGGTGCCATCTACTCTCAATCCACTTTGGATGGACAACGCATAAATCAGTGCAAGGCAAACATGGGAACAAAAAGAACAAAAACAAATGCCAAACACACATGGGGAGTGACATTGACATGGATGCACTTGTTGGTCTAGTTCTGGTTGTCATATGCATGAATGCAGCTCAGTTGTTCTGTTTTCTCCGCAAGTTCCCTCAAACAGCTCACAACAACCAAAAGCAAGTGAAAAAAGGGCTGCACCAGGCAGACAACAAACTCCAACACAGCCGAACCCTGTGTTAATCCCCTTCAGATCGCGCGATGCGCCAGACTGGCTGAAGCTGCAGCACTCAAAAAATCAAACTGAATAAGTATATTATAAGATTATATAAGCTAGGAGGAGTTAAAACAGGGTGCCTATTGGAGGATAATGGGCACTGACTTAGGGACTAAACACTACCCCTTTTGGACATCTAAGCTTGTAAAATGATAAAAAGGTTTCTGGTTTGGAAACGAGCCCTGTATTTGAAAATGCAAATTCCAATATGGCCTTCACAAGGTGTATTTGGACAAAAGATTGGCACCATGTTGCCTAGGTTTCCCTCCATTGCTAGCTTCCACCATGTCGTTCTCAGGCAAGCCTTGCGGATGGATGGTCCTCCGTCCCGGCTGTCCCAGAAGGTTCTCCAAAACGGTTGGGATGAAAATGGATGAAAGGTCCCTGTCGGTCTGATGCTGCATCCTGTTCAGAAGCACCCTCCTACGGCCCCACCGGGCCCGTTTGATGCACGGCACTCAGCACATGCAGAAAGCCCCAAACGAGCTGTGAAGAGAAACGGAGCGTTCCGAGGAGCCTTCATCAGCATCCACCCAAATATGAAGCTCACCCTCCACTGCTTGCAGCAACGGCAAGCCCAATGCAGAACTCGCCGTACTTGTCATGGCGTCGCATGGACAGTGAATGTATACACCTTGCCTGGACAAAACCACACATGACCGGTCTAGATGGGTGGAGAACATCAACATACATCAACCACATCACCCTATCAACATGGCCCTTCAAGCTGCCCAAAACACACCGGATGCCATAATAAGCCTGTTTGGGCATCTTCATGTGCAGTTCTGTTTTTGCTATCCTTCAGGGGAGGGCCTTTGTACCTTGGGATTGGTTCCAGCTACCTGCCTCTGCGCCTGCTGGGCGCAAGCAGATCGAACGTCTTTCAATTTCCAAGTCATAGTGGCAAATTTGAAGAATTGCTTCAATGATCACTCCCAAATCTAGTGCAATATAGAAGCTTTGTATAGTGACCCCCAAAAAAATTGGAAAAACAAATCCGGTTTGAAGCCCCTCTAGAAATGTCTTGGACACCAATTCGATCTATTGTTTTGGGATTAGCTGATTAGCTTTACCGCAAGGGGCCTTGCCTTTGGAAGTCAATGGACCAACAATCACTTCAGTAGCCCATCTGTTCTGTGACCTGGTAGCCTTTTGAAAGTTGTTGATTGATTTCGATCTTGGCTCGCCGCTCGCCAAAACTGCTGAACAGTCATGATATGCAACGATCTTTCGCTGGAACACATGGAGGCCCTGTAGGAGAGTCTATAAATTTGCTGGAGGGAATATTGAAAAACCTATAGACTCTCCAAAATGCCGCACCCCCCCAAAAGGACAGTGGGACTGTTTGTCACTGAAATCAACTTCGAACAAACGTCACCTGATCCAACGAAGGTCGGGAACCAATCTGGTTTGGTTCGTGTCCCTAATGGGTGATGACCATTCACTCTGCCATGCTGCGAACTGCACCTGGTCCCCACCCCTGGAATGAACCATCCCTCACCTTGCTGGTGCGATGAGGGTGGCTGACCCACAAAACAGATTCCACAGGCTCTGGCGCCACCCTCATTCCCTACTTGCACCAAGGTCGCAGGAGCAGGAACGGGATGTAACGGGAATCGCTCCGACGGTCGACGGTCCCCGGAGCGTTTGTTTTGGGCGTTGACCGGGCACCACTGGCTTTGCAGGGGCGAGCGGAGGCGAGCGGTTGGCGGTCGGTGTCGCCTTTTAAGGGAAACAACAAATAGCGTGGGATCTCTGCGAAACCAGGTTTTTAAAAGAATGGATGATGAGTCATGTTGTATATATACATTAGGTCTTGTTCAGTTTTTTGGCTGAGGGAGGGCTAAGCTTCGCGTGTCCCTACAAAGTCCTTGGAACATGGGGCTAAGCTTGGCAAGAGCATTGAGCATTGGTCCCTGCAAGGGTTCTGTGTTGGCAGGTGCAAACGGAATACATGCTCTTGTCACTGGATTTGTTAAGATTTGATGAGGTAACTTTACGGGAAACCATGGTTTGCCAGTTTGCACTGCCAAAAAATTGGTTTACATGGGTTTGCTATAGTAGATTTCATCCTATTTATCAACCCATTCTGAGTTTTGGGGAGGTCTTGTGGCGAGTGGGCCTGATTGTGCTTTTCACACAGATATATATATATATACATACATATATTTGAAGGTTAACTTCTGTAGTATATTGGGGATCGTTACCTGTGGTTGTCATTGCAATCCCATGTTTCTCGTTGTTCCTTCCCGCTCTTCGGCAAATGGTCGCTCCGTCCCGCTCACTGAAGCAGGCGGCGGAAAAGCTCGGCATTCTCCTGAGATTTGACACCGGGCTTCTGTTTGAAGAGGTGTAAATATATGATTATGCCATTCCAGGGTATATATATATACTGTTGCAGTATGTTGCAGTAAAAATATATATAGAATATATATATATAGCAGTGCAATAACTACCTATAGAACCTACACCAGTCCGTCCTTGTGCCAAACAGAAAAAACACCTCCAGTGAGTGGATCAGCGCACCATGGTACAGCGGTATCTCTTGGTGTCTGGTGTATGGAGATCAAACATGGCCTATCTTGGCCTAGCCAAACTCCGTCAACTTTGCTCCTTCTTATTCCTAGTAGCGTTCTTGCTGCTAGTAGCGATGCCAGGAGCCCCTAGTAGCGTTCTTGCTCCTAGTATGCCATGTATAATCTACTCCTTCGACTCGTCGACCTCATCTCTTTTCATCGCAGCACGCCCTCAGCGACTTCGCCCGCCGCAGCCACCGAGTCCGAGAGGCGCGGACGAAGAATTCCCCCATGGCCGCCAGCAAGTTGATCTGCGGATGCGTCAAGGCCTCGGCGGCATGCGACGCGAAGGCTTACATGAGCCGTGCTTGCGTCGTTTTCTTCGCAAGGCTTGCGACGCTCACGTGGGTGACGTCGGCGACCTAAAGGTGTAGATGAATGTAGATGACATATAATAGGTCCACAACTCACATTGTTCACTTGATTGGTTTCGAACTAAAGAGCGTAAAGAGCATGGACTCATGGTCCCAAGATCACAGGTTGAACATTTAAAAACACTCAAACCATGCACTTGTGGAGATTCCAAGCGTCGACTAAACCTGGGATGAATGTGCCCGTCAACCATTTCTTCACCTCGATCCACCGGAACAAAACACAAACTTCACGATCACTTTGCAAGGGAACATGGTAACTTCCGAGGATAGAAGCGCTCTTTAGCCAAGCAGGACAAAACACTCCCACTATCCCTCAGGTAGAGACCATGGCAAAAGTTGGAATCCTTTGCTGGTGGTAGGTATTTCGCTCACTCGTCCGGGTGGCTTTTACTCACTTTTACGGTAGGGCAACATCATCACTTCCATGTTTGCGTGTTTGTCGGTGGTGAGGTAGTAACCTACGATATACGGACCGATATACTTCTCCCACTACTTCTTCCATCTTCTCACACTGCGTGGTGATGTGGACTCAATTTGTTTTATACTGTAGTAGGGTGCGAATGCACCACATCCCGGTTGCAGGGTAAGAAAGCAATAATAGTACATCATGCTATCAGAAAGGAGCGGTCTCCATGCTATATCTCTTGTCCAGCAGCTGCAAAGCAACTATGCATATCCCATAATTCACGCAGCCCCGAAATATGGAACATGTTGTGCCGCACTGCAACTTTTGTCGTAAACCGAGGAGCAAAAAATCAAGGAGAGCAAGCAGTGACCCAGCACCTGCGCATTCCTTCATCACATCTTCCGCACAAGATTGGGCGACTTGGACTTAAGCCATCTTGGTTTTGTGTTCACGTTGTTTCTGATCCACGCAAGATCGGAAGCAAACTACCTCATCATCGAAACAAACGTTTGCCGACTCCCCACGGCCCAAGGTACCGTCCCGGAGCCAGCATTCTGGAAAACCACCTGGGCAAGTCGTGAACGCAAGAGTTCGAGGCCAGCGCGCTACATAAAGGTTGCTCAACCTTAGAGCCAACCCCCGGTGTGAAGGAAGTATATAACTCCTTCTATACATTCAGGTCTGAGATGTCCTCGGTTGGCGTAATTTGTTGCAATTGCCTTTGACATTCGGTCCTTCGCTTCGTCCAACTCCAGGAAAACCAAAACAAGAACAACTCTCATCAGCTTGACCCCCTCGGTCTTTCTGGAAAGTACAGGTGCACCCTTTTTCCATCGTCCGTCTTGCTTGGTGCAAGACTAACCCCGCCACGGCGTTGTCGCTCCGAAGGCGTGGGGAGGGAGGGGGGTTGAAAGAAACCCGATCTGGACGAACCATTGAACTCAATTGAACTCTAAATGGTGGTTCAACATATATATATTATATAGTTGATATATATACCCTAGGCCTCCAGTCGTACCGAACCGTTTCGTTTCGGTGGGACGACCGGGGCCCGGGTGCCAGTGTCGGGTCCAGTCATAGCGAAGCTGAGGAGATACGACTGGAGGTGTTGGGCTAGGGGCTTGCCCCCTTTCAAAGGGTCTTTGGGATTTGAGCCAGGAGTTGCGAAGGGCTCCAGTCGGTAGGTGGTCGCTATTCAAGAGTCAGGGTGGGTGGAAGTGGAGGGAGTGAGTTCGCCATCTGTTTGGTAATTCCAATGATTGGGTCACCCAGTTGTGGATGCCATCCACTTCCATTGATGATTTCAGGGAGTGTAACTATATATAGCTAGAATTCACACAATCTATCCGCCAGCCTGGCACTGTAAGACACCCTGGGTTTCACCAGAACATGGATGAACATGGCACCCATCCCGAGCGCACCCGGTAGTGAGGGAAGCGAGCAAACTCTGCATGAAAGTACCTGGAGCAGGGCACTGGGCTTCTGGGCTCGTGCCGGAGAAGTCTTCCAAGCAGGCTTGTTGATGCGATCAGCTTCGAAAAACGAGGAAAGCTGGTGGCTGCCACAAACCGAAGCACCAAGGAGCTGGCAGCTGCCAAAAAAACACTTTGTTTCTAAGCCTAAGAAGCCTAAGGGGCACAAGGCGCGGAAGCCTGGGGATCTCTTGGGAGGCAGAAGTCCAACTCACAGAATGCATGACTCCAAAAGCAGAATCGACATTAGCTAGCTGTTAAAACCCATGTGTGACAGTCAACATGATCGACCCGCATGCCTCTCCAAAAAGCTACAGTCAGCCATAGCTTCACCGAGTGACAACACCATCGACCCGCAAGTCTCCAGAACCGCTGAAGACGATCCCAGGGAAACCCTCCGTTTTGCCGCTGGTTGATAGGAAAACACTCGCGTTCATGGTGCCATTCGACCCGGGTCCATGTGAGTCTAGGGGGGGGTGTATGCCATAGGACTGCCGCCCCATTGACCCCCCTGGCACCACCCCTGGCCTGATCGGCATATATGGCAGTCCCATGGAGTCTGGGTACGTCCCTTCTTCATCGCCGATGGAGAGGCCCCCGCAAGCCGAGGCCCGAGCCGTGGATCAACAGAAACATGATAACGTTGGTTGTGGGTTGTTGAGTGGCGCTGTGAACGGCAACCAACAAGGAGACAACAAGGAAGCAACACTGACAACCACAACAACCACGACGACAACAACAACAACCACAACAACCACAAGCACAAGCACAAGAGATTGTTTTGCATGTCGGGGAACTTGATGGAGGAAGTTGGTTGGTATTCCTCCGTCACATCCACTCACTGCAAGTCTAAATGTTGCCCAGGGAGCCCGGACAAAGATTGGCCAGAAAGGCTGACTGGTGCTTAGTACGGAATAAGGGAAGTTTCGCCCCCAATAGAGTAATAGAGATTCTATTGGATCCAGCCACCCTCATTTTCTGCTTTTGTCGCACCAGTCAGAACGGGGGTTCACCCTATTCGGGGAGATCCACATCCCACCACTGCGCACGACTGGAGGTTGTCAGCGGTATCCTTCGGCAGCCTGCTTTCGAAGTTCTGACACTTGTCCAGGTACACCATCAGCCTTAGGAAGATCAGTGTGAATCTTAGATACTCAGGAAACTACTCAGGAAGTTGGTGTCTTCGCCGAGGAATCACCAGCGGCTTGTTCCAGCTCCTAGACCTGTAGATGTTGTTCAAACCAAATCCCTACAAGTCCAAAGACCCAGTAAAGCTTGGTCTTTTACCTCATTGAGTATTGGTTTTGTATGACCATCCCCAGTAAAATGAGGTCTTTGACTTGTAGGGAATGGTTCTGAATTCAAGAAATCCTTGGGCACTGTGATGCGCAAACACGAACAGCATGGACTAATTACACGTCCTCCAATCGCCACCGAAGAAGCAAACACTGTCTGGGTGCGTCTGGAGACCTATTTACGGTCCGGGTAGTCTAGCCAGGACACCCAAAAAGATCAATGATCCTGCACCCGAGTGATTGAAATTTCGACCTTCAACTTGGAGGCCCGGACCGTCAAGCATCACGAAAGAATTCACCGGTTTTCCGCGGACTGGCGATGTCCGCGCATCCAGGAGAAGAACTAGTTTGGATGGTTCTACGGTTGTTCATGATCCATCAATCAAAGACCTCAGTAAAATTTTACTGGAGATGGTCATACAAAACCAATACCCAAGGAGGTAAAAGACCCTGTTTTACTGGGTCTTTGGACTTGTAGGGAATATTTAAACATCCCATTGGAACTACCTATCACGGCCATGCGGTTCGGCGTCCCCGCGAACCGCCGGGGGACAAATCCACGCTGAAGCCACCACGAATGCCCCACCAACCTCAGCAGTGAGGGTGTCAAAGCCGATTGCGGCGAAGCGAAACAACATGAAAACATGCCGTGTGTATATATATATATATAATCCCACTCTGCTCCCACCTGCCCAGCCTTCAGAAGCTCTCTGTCTCTTTCCAGCCGGTGCTTCTGAGAGTGTTGCGAACTAACTCACATCCGACAAAAGCGAAGCCACAGGATCTCATGCTGCCTAGCCATTTCTGCCCAGCAGACTGTGATCCATTTGACGCAACACCATGCCCAATCTGGAGCCCATTCTGATGCAAGCATCTGAAGAGTCTGGTTTTACCGGAGACGAGTGGAGAGAAACTGCACTAGTCGTTTGGGCGCAGCCTCCACCTGTTTCCGGCGGCTTGCGGGAACAAACTTCCACTGTCTGACCATGAGGCCGCTCTTTTCATAGCGACTGACCGACTTCTTCGAAGCCCATCGTCCTCTTTTCTGCACAGCAGACAGGTCACGCCTTCGGTGGAAGAAGTCGGCTGAGGCGCTAGAGTGTCGAAGGATATGTGGTTGCACGATCACAGCGGAGTATCCCAGAGCTGCACACGCGGTTGCCAGAGCTTTTTCATACGCAGCCAACGTCACGTCAGGAAAAAGGGGCCCGCTTGAGTTCGAGTGTATAGGAAACCCATCACATCCATTCACATCCGTCATGAAACTTCGGTCTTTGGTGTCACCAATCACGACTGAGTCGTCGGCAGTACCAGTCTTGGTTCTTTCACCAAGTTCTGACAGTTTGACAATCAGACACCAGAAAGGATACCGTGGTCCTGCTGGTGGCACCACATGGTCTTGGTGCAGGCCAATGGCTTCACTAGGCCGGAGACACGCATCAAACTGAACCAACATGAGGAGGGCAAGATCTAGGCGTTCTTGGCCTACATGAATGGCAACATCGTAGATAATCTCTTCAGCCACCGGAAGTTGCATTGACCCCGGCTTCAACTTTCCAGCTGGCCAAGGCCTCCTTGGCTTTGGCAAGAAGGCATGCTTGGGAACATTGCACTTGAGCAACTGGAGACCATAGACCAAATACGTGCCAGCTGTCGGCTCTGCAGGGTCTTCATGCTCTGCCAGCCAAGTGATGTACTCTACAACCCTGGCGTCCATATTTGCAGCGGTGCTTTTGTGAGCACAGTCATAGAAGTCATTCATGTGCTTTTGGTATCTGGTCAAAGTCTTCTGTGAAACCCGAGCAGCCCGGAGCCGAACCAAGGTCGGCAGCGGATTCCCGGAGAGATCCCGTGGTTTAGGGATCGCCTTCTTGCACGGTTCCAAAAGAAGTGGCTATGCGACACTGCTCCACTACGGCCTCGTTAGCCAGATAAAGTGCCCAGCTCCAACCCATGCACATGCCCCGCAAAGCGAAACACACCTGTTCAGAGTCTGGAAAAGAAGCGAAGTCCGCAAGGTCATCGTCATAGATGCGGTCGACACTAAACCCCAGACTCCGAAGTTCTCCTAGGCTCATGCGATCGTCAGTGCAGAACCAAACTGAGGGGCTCTATGGAAAAGTTGTAGAAACAATCGCCCACGTCCCCAGCCGACATGCCCGGAACTCGGGCCTCCACAACTTCTCCAACTCCATTCTGTGCAAAAGGGTCAAGGTCAAGCTCTCCAAAGGCCGTAGTGGTGGAGAGTCTAGTGAAAGGGGGCCGCCTCTGCTTCTGGTTGGCATCCCTAGCGTCCACTAGAAGTCTTTGCACGCCATCTTTCTTTGAAACAGTGAAAAATGCAACTCGGGCTTTCCTACGTCGACGAAAACAGAGCAGTCCAGCTGAGTGAAGTGCACGATAGAGGTCAAGTCTCCTACCGAAGTCAGTTTTCAAACCGGGATCCCGGTAAGGAGTGATTGGGTCAAAGGACTCTTGCTCCGCCTCAAGTTCAACTGAAGATTTGGAAATAAGGTCCTCGTGGTGGTGGATGTAGACTGCCGCCTCCGGCGGCAAAAGCTTCTCGACTGGAATCAATTGCAAGCTTCGCTGAAGGATGCGGTCGGTGGGAACCAGTCTAGCCGCTTTTTGTGTATACAGGTTGGTTGATGACAGCATGTTTGCAAGGGCCGAGTCCTCATCCATTTCGGTGGGTTGGGCCCCATGCCGTTCCACCCTCCTCCATATGTCTGCCATAGCCCATTGCTGAACCGCAGTGAGAGGAAGATGTTCATTGGCTGAGTTCGGAAAAGATGGAACTGAAGCAAGGTCATTCAAACTTTTGAGAGAGTGATCCACTCGCTGTCGCAGCTCCTGAGCAGGGTCATTCAAACGTGGACCCCAAGTCAACCTGGGCAAAGGAAAAATAAGGAAAACATGCTCCATGCCGTCAGTCTCGTGAAGTGCACCGAATTCCAAAAGCATTCCATTCATCGGCCATTGGACGGGAGTGACAGGAAAACCTGGCCGAAGTCACCCCCAGGCGGCAGTTCGTCACTTGTCATGGCCGGCGCCAGCTGCGCCGGACTCGCCGCCTTTGTCGCCCTTCTGGTCGCCTTTCTTCTTTTGCTTCTTCTTGCCCCGGTCATTCTCATCTTCCGACTCATTATCATTGTAGCCTCCACGGCCAGATCTATGCTCCTGTCGGTAAAGCCTCTCTTGCTTCCGAGGCTCTGCCATCCGGCAAGGTTGCTGTGCCGGCCACAATGTCCAAGCCCGAGTAGTCGGGAGTCTGGGGGCTTCTCTCCACCGCCAGCTCCGTCTGGATGAGCCACCGGCAAAGAGTCTCTCCTACTGCCAAGGAAGAGGCATCCAGCTGGTCGTACGAGTGGAGAAGCCTAAGAAGCTCGCACAAGTTGCGATGCACATGAGAAGCGGAGTTCCGACCACTAACGCCGAGAGCCTCACCCACTCACTGTGGTAGGAGGTGAAGTTCCCAGGCCCTTCTGAGACGGAAACATGAAGCTCTTTTGCCGCTCGAACTCCAGCTATGGGAAACTCCTTGTCATCCGGCTGGTGCATGAGGGCCATTGCAGAGGCTAGGTCAAGTCGCCTTCGACCGACTGAGTCGCGGTGGTCTCCAAGCAGGCGGACATCGCCCAACTCTTTCCGGGCTTTCCATTCTTCCAACTGTCCCATCGAGATTCGTTCAGCGAAGGTTTCCTCCCCGTCTAGCAGAACGACTCCTCTGGTGGTGAAGGCACGCCCTGTTGCTTCACTGGCAAGGAGTCGAGTGTCCACACTCTCGCCAAAGCGCTGGTGGGATGGACCGGCAACAACCCATCCAACAGTCTCTAACTCATCCACGGCACCCTCTCCCAGGATCGAAGCCTGGATGGCCGCCTGTCTCTTGAAGTTCTGCAACAGGGCTCTGCTGATGGGGTCGTGCGCATACACTTCTGCCGCGATGTCTCCTGGAAATGGGGTGTTCCGCTCCAAGATGCGGTGAGCATGAGTCTGAAAGTTGTGCCGCTGCAAGTCGTGATCTGGGGTTAGACAAATCCAATCACCTCCTGCAACACGATGGAGTAAAAGACGATGATGCCAGTGCAGGCCGGCCCCATCATGGGGGTAGTGAACAAGCACTTGCAGTTCAGACACATCTAGTGTGGTCGCTACCGCCATCTTCGCGATTTGGTCGAGCAACTGGAGGTGGGTTGCGGATCTTGCCGTTGGGAGCTCTGGTTAGCGTGGAGCTTAGTCAAAGCCCTGAGTCTCTTGGTCCTGATTGGATTTTTTGGCTTCTTTTTCCACTGGAAGTGCTTCAGTCTTGCGCGAGTGGACCGGAACCGAGCCATAGAAGACTCTGATTCGGCATCCATCACTTCGGACCTCTCGCCTGTAGCTCTTTGATCCACACCAACTTCCTCCTTAGTGCCAAGTCAGACTGGAGGCCCCACCCGGCCTTCAGACCGGAGGCGGTTGAGAGATGCCCAATCTCCTGTCGCAGCTGAGCGGCTTCGGTGACTGCCAACTCAGACACCGTCGGACGCCGCAGCTCCCACAGCGCCGCCAAGAAAGCGCCCCAAGCCCAGGGGTGCCCGCCGCTCATGAAAGGCTTGAAGAGCTTGAACATTAAATGAATTCGGGCATGGTTGACTCTAATCATGGGTTTAAAACATGGCAGGCCTCTCTCTCTCTCTCTATATATATATATCTCTCTATATATACCCAGACACTCCATGTATGCCATATATGCCGCTCCATTGACCCAAACAAAAACCACCCCAATGTAGGCATATATGGCATACATGGAGTGTCTGGGATATAGTTATAAATGTCCAAGTGAGACTTGACTCCTCAAAGGTATCATTTTGATCCATGGACATGTGTGTAACTTAACTAAACCATTAGTCACTCAATCATTCTATACGTAACTCCAATGCCCCCATTTTCAAAATTACTTGAGCAATCTTGAGCATATATAATGGGAAACCATCTGGAACACTTGGGGAACCCATCCGCCAAGTCAACCAGATGGGCCTTGCGGATAGAATCAGATAGACATATATTTTGTACAAAAACACATCGAGTCCAAGCTAAAGATCTCCAAAAGTGTAACGGAAACCCTTCTACATCCTTCTACATCCTGACTCTTGACTGGCAAATCCGCCGCCCCCGGTTCGATGGTAAAACGTCTTCATATATATGGAGGGTTGAAAAATCCACCTACGAGTCTACAGCCCACGTACGGATGCTGATCTTCCCTATAGCAAGCGCCACCGAGATGCGGTTCGGCAGCACCTGCAAGCGGCGTTGGGCCACCGTGGGCTGTCCACGCTTCTTCAGGGATTGCAGCTGACACAGCAACGGCGCCAAGTCCTTCTTCCGGAAGACCTGGGGGGACAGCCGCGGCCCGCGCGGCTGCGCACAGAAGCCCCAAACCGTGCCAAGGCGGAAGAAATGACGCTGGCAAATGCAGGATCTCCCATTGGGCGAACGCCACAACGACGGAAAGGCGGTGTGTTGGGTCGGCGAGCTGATTCAAAGGTCGTGGAGAGTCTGTGTGTTTCTCAAGTCCGAACCTGAAGCATGTGGCACACGGAAGAACAGTGGAAGTGGTGAAGAATGTCTGTCTCCCACCCATCTCCGGATCTCCAAGTCCTCCAAGTAGCGTGGTTTTGAGTCAAAAACTCCCCAATATCGTCCTGCACGTGCTGACCGGCTGCGCATGGAGAAGAAAGCATAAGGAACATCATTGAATCTAAAGGTCAAAAGCCACCAAGAACATAATTGAAACACCACGGTGAAACACATTGGTTTTGCACCACATGTGTACATGTTTTAAATGGTGTGTTGGTGTTCTGCCAGATAAGGAGCGAGTTCAAACAAAGGCGCCCATGGGTCCTTCTCCCAATAGCCAAAGTTCGCCCTCAGTTGATTCTCCAGGCGCTCAGCCACATCACTACTGAGCTCCTGCTGGCCCAATGCACCTGAACATGAGTGGCATGACGATGGAGCGCTAACATGTTGTCGTGACACCGATGATGTTTCGTATGCAGGTACACACATGGTTTCCATGACGTTTCATGGGTTTTCACCACGTTGATGAACGACGCACCCAGGCCGTGCTTGCTAACGGTCCTGTCAAGGTTTTAACAGGGTCCCACCTGTGGGGACCAGGCGTCGATCGGTTTGGAGGATCGGTTTGCCTGCCCAGCATGCTGAACCGACCGGTTGGTGTGCCCGGCATGCAATGGATCTCAAGCAACTAACAGTGCGCCCAGTAGGCCCTAGATCTGTATCTTCTTGAGTGTGCCACAAACGGAAGGTGTAAGAGAAAGGGGCATAGTTCCACAAGAACCACTACAGGTGCCTATATGAAACAAGGCGCTGAGCTGACCCAAACAGCTTCAATGCGATCCAAATCCAGCCAGGATGCAAAAATCAACGTCATCCGGAAGAGCATGACCAGTACTGACCACCTTACTGATGCTTCCACTGTGAATTGCCTATTGTGGAGAGCAACCATCGCAGATTGAAAGGCTAGGGTCGAGATCACCAGTAGCGTATCTTCAACCAACATATATATGGACTCTAGACCAACAATCAGTGGCCTCTGGATCAGTATCGTATTATCGTCAAAAAAAGAGTAACATCATGAGAACTTGTCCATTCGACCAATCAGTCTTCTGAACGAAGATGTTGTAAAGTGTCTGCGCAGTCCATGCATAGACAAACGCGTCTGCGCACTGCCAAGCGAAAGAGCTTGCACCAGTGGTTAGACACCAATATAGCCAGCCCTGAACATCTAGAAAAAACGAGAACCATTCAACGCAGCTCGCGACACCAACGCGCTGAACAAATGGTGGTTTAGATGGACCCCTATACAAAAGACATCGTGTGGTTTGTGCCATCGAGCCTCTGAAACCACATACCCAGCTGGTCTGACCGGACTCTGAAAACTGGTTCGCACGGAGCAAAGAAGCTGTAGGGCTCAGGGCCGGCCTAGGGTGCCAAAACTACAGGATCCATTGTGAGGGACATCGGAAGTGCAACAACTGAGCTGACGTCATGGGCGAGCCAGCTGGAGACTGGAACCAGTGGGGACTGGTGCGACCAGTGGGGATTGTGCCATCGACTCTGAAACCACTGTAGATGGTTCCGGATACATGGTTTTCACCAGTGAGCATCCACACCCCACATGGATCGCACAATCTCCTGTGGTTTTCGCCTAGACCACTCTTGAAAACCTTAGGCTCAAAGCACTCAGCTAGGGAACCAAGAAGGAAAATCAATCGACGGACCCTTCCATGTCAATTCCACTCCCAAACACTCTACATGGAGTGTCTGGGACTTGTGGCTTGCTGATGTTGCATCGACGTCGTTTGATTCAGGTCTGACCCCGTCCAAGAAGCTAAAACCACCTTGCTCGCTCGCCGCTGCAGCATGGCTAGCAGTCCGCTGTTGTCCTTGGTGAGTAGAAAGGGTCCGTCCCATTTCAACGGACATCTTCAAATCCCTTTTGACAAGCCTCCGACTGCTCAGTCATTGATGGACATGTCTGCATAGGCATTGCCTATGTGCACGTCGTCTCACTAAATACAGCACCCCCAGCTGTCGCCAAAAGGAATCCGGTACACGTGCCAACGTGATCAGGAAGAGGACCCCCAAGTATGCTGCAAGAATCATTTTTTTTGGTGAAATCGGAAGAACATGGAAGAGCCAATTGGAACCAACATGAAACAATAAGCACTTGCCTCCAACAAAAATCCGCCACCCAAACACTGCGTTTGCCCAGCGTCGATGTTGCCACCATCTCCAAGGAGGTAGGTGCCTGGACAGAAAGCGTCGAACGCAATTTGTCCCCCAAAAAGAATCAAACAGGAAACATCAGAAACCATCCTGCACCAGCAGTCACAAAAGGGTGCTTGATGGAGGTTAGGGGTGCCCAGCTACTCCACTCACTTAGAGTCTAAACACCACCCCCCGGACATGTGACTCCTTGAATTCGTACTTCTCACATTCTCCATCGAAATGAGCTCGCACTCTTCTCCCTATAACCCAAAACGTCGCACGAGAACCCGATGACCCGGGAGTGGAGAGTCAGACTTGTCCAAGCAATAGAGCGATAGGGATCCGTTTTCGTACCTTCTCAGGTACGGTGAGCAGGGAGACACTGTTATGTAGGTGCCACGAGGGTCCAGTCGTACCTTCTGAGAAGGCACTTGGATCCCTAGGGGAGTAATACACCACCCCAAGCTGGGCCGGCGCAGCTCTTATTGGATCCTTTGGACCCAAACACCCGGTGAAACCGTTGTTCCAGTCAGGTTGGGGGGGGGTCTCGAATCCCCCGCAGGTCACCACCACAAAGGTTTTCTAGGTCATCCATGGTCATCCTGGGTAGGGAACAGAATGGTCGCACATGTGAAATGAAACTTGGTTCTTAAGGCCTACGGACATGCCGCTCCTAACACGCGGAAACTTCCAAGACACAATTTGCAAGCTCCCCAAGTGTGGTCAAGAGTTAAAACCGCCTGTTTGGTCATCATTCGGAACCCAAGCACTCCATGGGACTGCCATATGACTGCCAATCAGGCCAGGGGTGGTTGTTCAGGGTTCAATGGATCGGCCTTGGCAGTCCCATCAGTCGTGTCTGGGGAATAGCTGGTCGTGGCCATGTCATTCATTTCGAGTGTCAAGGTCTGAAGAGGGCTGACTCCCCACACACTTGGTACAGTGCCTGGCACCAGAGACCCCACCAAGAGCTCCCGCAGCTCGCGTGCCGCTCGCGTGCCCGCTCGCCCTTCCACGACCTGGTTGAACGTCCAACGGGGTTCTGGCTGGAAGACCCAGCCCACTAGTCACTACGTGGATCTCCGTTTCACAGCCCGAAGTGAAGGTCGAGGTGCCTGCTTTTTCGGGCCAACTCCTGGGTTGATGGGGAACTGACCCCCTCAGTTTTCCCTCAGAGAAAAGATTCACCTTTGTTGAGTGGGGAAACCAGCAGCCCAAAAAGGGTTAAAGGTTATCCACTGGGTAGGGGAACAACCACCCTCTACTTGCTCAGACGGGAATCCAGCGAGAGCGGGAGGCCCGCATCCTGCTGCCAAAAGTACTGGCACCCTTGGGCCGCTCGAACTTTGGTGACGGAATGGCCCAGTAGTCAGACCTGCCACGCAACCAGACGAGAGCGACTCAGTCTGATGGATGGCCAGTTCACTTGCAGTCTGTTGCAGTCTGCAGGGCGTTCTCCCTAATGACGGGCTGCAACCTAACATCGAAACAAAAAGACACTTACATCATTCGCAGTACCATATACTATGACCAATAGACTACCCTATCCAACTTACAGGTCTCCAGACAGGGCACCCAGACAGGAAGTGCTAGGGATGTAGAGTTCATGTATTTCTTTGAGCAGTGCAAGTCCATTAGGAGCTCCACTCTGACAAAAACCGACCACGACCACCCTCACCAGGGTTTGCTAGCCGTCCAACCTCCGCCCCGCCCCACGGAGCGAGCGGCCAAAACGGCACAGAGCGACCCGGCTTTCCAAACGATTCTCTTAATGTCCCAGTGGGTGTTGATAGTCATATACTGTATGTTGAAGCACTTCCATCATAAACTTTGATAAAAACACAACGTGTTATTAAAATATGTGAATCAGTGTGAAACCTATGTCGCAAGTGATGTGCCCAAATGGAAAACCTATATTGGACAACGTCTCCATGACTCTCAAGGGTACGATTCAAGCAACATGTGAATCAGTGTGAAACCTATGTCG